TGGGTCTTGTTATAATAAGGCTTAATGGGGAAGATAAAATGTTTGACAGTCAAGAGCTTCTCAGAGTCTCAAGAGGAATCAAAGCAATGGGGATTGGAACAGGAGGATCTTGTTGTAAATAGAGCTGCTTTCTCCTGGGTGTTTAGAGTAGAGATGGCCTTGAACCCAAAATGCAGAGCTAAACATCCTGGCTGCTGGGATGTTTCAGATCCTGATTTGGGTTTGATCCTTGTGTCTTGGATCGTCAGTAGGGCCCAATTCTGAATTAACTATTCAAGACCTGATCCTTAGTCCATCGAACTCAACAGCATGACTCCCAGGGAAGTTCTGCCTTAGTAAGGATCCCCTGGATATGGCAGCAAGGGAGAGCCCTGAAGAAAAATCTACTAATCTCTGTGACTCATGGTTCCTTTTGAATGATACCTGATTCCAGTTGACAGGCAAATGAACAGGTGTGTCTAGGTCTCGGCATCCTTGGGCATTTATAGATGTTGGGGTTGGGGGGGGCACTATAATTTGAACAGCTCCGAGGACACCTATATACGTACGTTAAGGCTGCTCTGATGTGCTGTAATTACAACACATTGGAGCAGACTCAATTAATTGAGTCTGCTGGAGCGTGGTAATTACTGCACTTCAGCAGACTCCAATGTCACGTGTATCAGCATCCCCGTGCTAAAAAATGGTGGCGGGGGCACTTTTAAAGTTTGTTCAATGAGCTTTAGTTAAAGTGCCCCCACTGCCATTTTTCAGTGCAGGGAGGCTAATACACACGACATTCCAGGTGCTTTAATTAAAGCAGCTCTCAGAGCTGCTCTAAGTAAAGTGTACTGCCTGCCCACTCCCGGAGCACAGCTATAAATGCTCGAGAGCCACTTTAATTAAAGTGCCAGGAATGTCATGTGTATCAGTGTCCCCACACTGAAAAATGGTGGCAGGTGTACTTTAACTAAAGCATGTCGGTTGAGCTTTAGTTAAAGCACCCCTGCTGCCATTTTTCAGTGCAGGGACGCTGATGCATGTGACACTGGAGTCTGCTGGAACATGGTCATTACCACGCTCCAGCAGACTTGATTAATTGCATAACTGTAATTGCAGAATGTCGGCACAGCCTCTCTGCATGTGTATAAGCACCCTTAGCGATTATAATAACTTATGTCTACTGCCTACAAGTGTGTCAGTGCCTTTAAAAGGAAATCCACTCCCCAAAGTTTTTGTATAACCCATACGGTCAAACCCAGTCAGCTCAAGATCTGTGCTGAAATCTTTTGCATAAACAAAGGAGCAAGACATTTTGGTTTTCAAACTAAGAGTAAGTATTAGGGAAGGATTTCTACATGGCTTTCCTACATCTCATGCTCTGAAGCATGTTTTCATGAAGCCCTGTCAAGGTCAAAGCCCCATCCATCTTGCAATGGTTTTCAAGCTGGGTACTCAACCAAAATCCACAGACTGGGTGCAGATGCAGGTCCTAAGGCCTTTTGTTCAAAGAGCACAAATACAAGTCCAATTCAGGGCTCATGTATATAGATGCAACTCCTGTTTACATCATGGCTGAAATCTGCCAACTGCATTCAAGGGCTGCTGGGGAACAACATATCATAGGGTAGATCTGCTCACTAGCTTCTCATGCAAGGTATCCTTTGCTACCCATAAGGTCATGCACAGACCCTGTTATACATACTAGCCTCCGCCACCCCCTTGGGAGGAGACCACACTTACCAAGAGATGCCTGCTTTAGAGGCAAAGGGAGATAAGCCAACATTCCCCACAGCGTATAGAAGTATTTATCATCAACAGAACTAGTTTCTAACTTGGCTTGTATCCTTTAAGTCTGTTGGGAGGCCGGCTGGGACCCTCATGGAGGAAAAGCAATGTCACTCTCCATCCACTTTACAAAAAGAAAGCAGGGTAGAACACAGCATATCACAAGGTAACAAGGAGATTGGGTATCATCAATATAAAGGTGATTCTTTATTGAGGCAGCTAGATGCAGACAGACCCTATGGTTCACCCTCCAGTTCCCACGCTATCTAATACAGTTTGTGCTGCCTAGTGTCACAACACAGTATCAGTTGTATGCTGGACTAAGTATTCATGGAATACCTTGTTGGCTCTGCTACATGGCTGAGTCTGTTTTTGGATAGGAGCTTCCCAAGGAACATATAGTGGTGCAAAGAAATGGCAATTCAGTAGATATCTCTTCGCAGTGAGTCGGTACTAAACCAGTACCCCATATTGGGAACTAATCAAGGTGCCTTTTCTGGGATTAAACATCATATTAAGGGCAGACTGTTCAGGGCAAGGTAATTTGTCATTTCCTCTTCCAAGCTGTCTTCTGTAGGGCTCCCTTCACTCTAAAGATGGCCCTATTTCAAGGTTAGAGTTCAAGTGATAGTACTATATATGTAGTGTATGAAACAACAAAATATGGTAGTGAGTACAGGTATATACACTGTGTGAGAGTCTGTCTTGCTCTATTCCCACTGCAGAGAGAAACCCCATGCTCCTATATATGGATAGCCGACTAATCTCATCACAAACTATCACATCAATAGTAGCATCTATCTAGTTCATGGCTCAAAATCAGTCTCTTGTTTCCCTTGGGCACCCTTCTTGCAGGGCTCTGGCACTTAAGCCATCACTTTCAGGAAGGCTGAATGCATGCCTCGAGATCCAAACTGTGACCAGGCCAACCTTCACACCTCTTATATTCATGGAAATGATTTGTTGCTTCAGTCTGTGGGAAGCCTGTAAAGCACAGACAAAACTTCACCTAAAATCTTACTGCAGGCAGCCAGGGTCAGGGGAGCCAGGGTGTGTGCTACCCATATGTCCAAAGAGGTGCTCTGCAAACATCCATCTTTTTAATCTTTTTTTAATATTTGCATTGTAATTGCCCTCCGGGACTCAGGGAGCCTCAAGATCCATTGTGCTTGGCTCTACAAACACAGCTCAACACATGATCTTTGATCCCAGGAGCTTGCAGCCAAAAAGAAAAAAAGTGTATTAAATACAGTCAAATACATATAATTTTAATGTTCATATATGTACACTTATATGTTGTATTATGGTGAACACCAACTATTCCCTGCTACTTTTCTCTCTACCCATCATAAACCAGCAGGTTTCTTATAGACATCGTAGCAGAGGAGGAGGAAGGTAGGTGCTTTCCAGATCAGTCTGTTCAGGGACAGTGAAGGGTTGATTAACAGATGGCAGATGATAATACAAGAAAGCTGATAAGTGGAACAGAGTGGAAAGGCAGAGTTTTACCACAGGAAGTTGTAGAGGCAGATAGTATAGACAGGCTCACAAAAGGACTGGACAAATTCATGGATGATAGTTCCATTAGTAGTTATTAAATGGAAAAGTCATGGATGTATCTCTGAACCAAGGACGGTGAATACTAAGAAGGGTATTACAGGGGCCACATCACACCAGATATACCCTGTTCATATGCTTTCCTAAACCTGTGGTTTTCAACTTTTTTTCATTTGTGGACTCCTAAAAAAAAAAAAAAAAACTTCAACTGGAGATGCACACCCCTTGGAATTACAAGTGTAGGTATTCACATACTTTTGATTGATCATAGTCCTCTTTCGTGGACCCCCTATAGTCTGCAGACCCCCAAGTGTCCACAGCCCACAGACTGAAAACCACTGCTCTAAAGCAGCCACTGCTGTCCCTGTCAGAGATGGGATACAGAGCTAGATGGACTACTGATTTGACCCAGTATGACACGCATGGTCTTAGCTGTGAAAAGGCCCTTATGGTGAGGGGAAGTTGCAAGTAACTTGCACATCAGAGGTAGCAGCTTAGACTCTTGCAGGACCAGTGCTCGGGGCTCAAAGATTCCTCACAGACAAGGGGCCTAATTGAGCCAAACAGCCTAGAGTTTGGGACTGGTGTCTGCAGTGATCTAAGCATTGGCCACACATTTCTCAGGAAATGGCTTGCACTCCAATGTACCGCATGGCTTGATGCATAATGGATTTATAACAAGCAGGCAGATTTGTTCAGTTGGGCCCTAACTAGCTGAACCAATGTCATGTCAAAGGTCAAATCTGCCTTTGCTGGTGTAATGCTACCCCTTTCCAAGCCTGCCTAGGTTCCAGTTGTTCTGGTTCATTCAAAAGTGGAGCGAAGACTACAGCACACTACATTTAGGCATGGGTCTCCTCCTCAGCAATGCCACTGAAAAAGGTTTGTGCCTCATTTCTCATGGTGCTTTTTACACCTGAACAAAATGTGACTAAAGTAGTACAAAAGGCCACCTTTTGCTCTTGTGTTGCATAAGCGTAAGTGACCACACGTGAAACCTGGCCGTGAAGAACTGGACTCGAAACGCTCAATTTGTGACACTGCAGCCAACACCATGGCAACGCACTGATGTCATATAAATGCAAGATAGTGACCTCAGTGAAGGAAAAACTTAATGAGCTGTGAAGAGAGTCTCTTAAATATGTAAGTGTCTAATGACAGCAAAGAAAACCAAATAATTCAGTCATTTTCTTTCCGTCCAAGCTTTCTTTCTTCATCGAGTTGAATTCAGAGCAAAGCCTCCTAGCAGCAGCAGTGGGATGATTGGTCCACTGAACATGGACTCTGTGCATGTGCCTTGCACACAGCCTCTGTCCTGTAATTGGTAATTAGAAGCACAGCCCAGAGTTACTGTTCTACATATCTATCAAGAAAACAGGCCAAGAGCAGCAAGACCACCTTAAATCACAGTAACGAAAAATGTTAGTTAAAGTGGAAAGGTTTTCAACAGATCTTGTTCTTTTCCTCTTGCTTTATCTGTGAGACTTTTGGGTCACTCTTCACTGGCTTTCTTTAGATGCTTCTCTATGACAATATTAAGATCCTTGTCAGCAAGCAGCCCTCTCCCCTCCACACTTTTGGCCATTATTTCCAAAAGCCTTTTACCAATCCAGTAATGAGCTGGAAGGAGATCTCTATTTGAGAAGGTCAGAGCAAGCTCTAGAAACTATTCTAGGATTATTCTAGTCCTATGGCAGGTGAACTAAGACATGGCTTCCATAAACCCTTTCCCTGCATTGAAAAAGCAAAATTATTTCTGACCTTTAAAATCCTTGAAGGAAATCAAATCACTCGCGTCTTACTGGGAGGGTTAAAATAGAAAATAAAAAACAGCCCACTCACTGGCCATTAGAACAAGGCAGGAAATAATATGCTATTGTGCATGAAAATTGGTTGGGAGAAAGTAGATTTTGATTGCTGGAGCCACGTGATCTTGACGGGACATCCATAAAACCATATTCTCTGTATAAATCTTGGCCATTCTCTTGCCTAAGAGGCTAGAAACCAGCATCACCCTAAGAGTGAAATACCTGCTTGAGCATTTTAATGGTAAATGGGGAGAGCCATATGAGGTCTGTTTAAGCCTAAAGTCCTGTACAGGTCCCCATGAAACTGTCTTGGACTCAGAAGATCTTTCAAAGTCTGAAAGAAACAAAATTCCATTAGGTGACATTGAAGGTGATGAAGGAGGTGGCTGTTTTCTGTGGACGTCCAACCAGTTCTGCCTCCCCCCATGATTGGGCTGGGAACTGGCAGCAGGTGGAGGACCTGGCATGTGGAGGCTCGCTGATGTGTGTTACTTCTGTCAGATCTGCCTCTAAGGTGCTGACCGTGTTGGTCGCTTGAGCGACATGAACCTTGTTGGCCACCTTCTTGTGCAAGAGGCAGATGAAGATCTTCTTGAAGCCCTTGCGGAAGTGTTTGGAGACCAGGGCATAGACGATGGGGTTAACACAGGAGTTGGCATAAGAGATCAGGTGTGAAAGGATCCTAAGCACATAGGTGTTATGGTTGAGAGGGAAGTAACCGAACCAGACGCACAGGATGACCAGGTGATGGGGCAGCCAGCAGAGGCAGAAGAGGACAGCTACAATGATGATCATCCTTGTGACCTTGCACTTAGCCTTCTTGGACTCAGACATGTTTTCAATGGGGTCCACAGATGTCCAGAGGTAACGGATGGTCCTCACGTAGGTGAGGCTCAGGATCAGCACTGGGATAACATAGCTGAAGATGAATGTGCAGAGATCCATGATCTTGCGTTGGGAGATTTTCCAAATGGGATGGCAGACAGTGAGGTTGGCTGTCTGGAACTCCTCATAGTAACTGAGGTAGGGACCAGAGAAAATAAAGGAAAGACCCCAGATGAGGCAAATGGCAGTGAGACCATTCCTGGGGGTCCTTAGTTCTCTGGAGTGCAGAGGGTATCTTATAGCCAAATACCTAGAAGGGAAAGAGAGAGAGAGAGAGAAACAAAACTACAGTTCTGTTTACATCAGAGAGAACTTTGCAAAGCCTGAGGAGCTGGGGAGAGCACAAGGAAAAACGACTGAAATGCTCAACTTCACCCTCCTAGTACAATTTCCAATTCCGTCGCATTCTGTTTTTGAGTGCATGTCTACACAGCAAAATAGAGGTGTGATGGGACCATGTAGCAGTATACATAAACTAGCTTCACTTAGCTAGCATGGGTAACAATAACAGCAAGAGTGAAGGGCAGTAGCCTGATCTAGCAACTGGAGTACATGCCATCCCTATGCTAGATTAGGCCTGACCTCACACATGGGGCCCAGGGACTGGCAGAGCCAGAAGGCTGAGCACCAGTGGTCCAACTTATTAAAACTTCATGAACACCCCTTGGCATAAATACCAGGCACAATATCTCCAAACTGAAGAACATCCTAACTTGTCACAGGTAAAACAGTGGCATGAAGGAACTGACAGTGTCCTGCCACTGCAGGGATAGGAAGTAGTTTGAAATTTAGTTGAAAGAGGCAAGGAATGGGGCCACTCACCTGCCATACAAGGGAAGGCAAAACCCCACAGCCCATGCTTAGTACAGCTGTGGGGTAAAATTCCCTCCTGATCACAAATGTGATGAGCAGTCTGGCCCTAAGCAAAGGAGCAAGACCCTCTAACGAAGAACATTTGGGTTGTTCACTCCCACTAAAAGTACTAGCACACCCCAGTCAAAATCCCCAGCCTTGGCTGCAGCCAATACCCAATGCTTCTGAGGAAGGTGAGCAAATATAATTACCCTGCTCAAATGCAAGCCTGGAATTGCAGCAGGTCATGCAACAAGATCTGATGACGGAAAAGTGCCTAAAAAATGAAAAGAAATGGTGCCTCTTTGAAATAGTGGTCCATCTTTTCATGGAGGGTATGTGATGCCAACTCCATTATGGGGACTGCTGGCTGTGGGTGGGTGTGATTCAGTGTATTTAAGCATTAAAAGGCATTGGTGAGGAGGCTGTTGTTTAGAGGTGATGAATTAGTGAGAGAGAGGAGATGAGAAGCACAGGATGTGCTTGTTTTGATCTTGCGCACTGGTCCCATTGCTTTTTTCCCCATAATGGGAGACAACGGGAACACACTGATCACGTACAGGTCTAAATTATCGCTCTGCCATCTCCTGTCTGTAGATCACACTCCAACAGCCCAGATTTTTGTCTCGCTTATTTTACAGTAGCTTTGCATGCACGTAGCTCTACTGCTTTCCACAGACTTACTCCTGATCTTACTCTGGTGTCAGGGAAGAACTGGGCCTTGGATCAGCTTTAATTATACACCCCCATCTCAAGTTCCTTCCATGACAAGTGCATGCTAGACACTAAACTGCACAATAACACCAGTTAAAATCGTGCTTTCTTAAGGGCAAAGTAAAGCCAATTTTCTATCTAGTTTCTCTTCTAAAATTGCTTTTGTGGGACAGGGTGTTACACAAAGGAGTTTGGGGTTCTTTTTCACTTGGTTCTTAAGACCCAAAGATCTCTCCAGTTTCAAGTACCCTGAGCTCCAGGAATAAAAAAAAATGCAATAGAATAGCTTCAAGAATCACTTTTCTTTCCTGCTGCAAATAAATTACCTCCCAGCCACTGGAAGGATGAACTGGTGGCCAAGATCAGCAGCAAGCAAAGTGAGATTGTAAATGTCAGAAGCTGCAGGTTGCCTTCATTAGAGATGGCTGCACCTGCAAAGGTTGCTGGCATGTAAGATGATTTTAATGGAAAAGCAATCTTAGATCTGCTGTACCCAGTGCCCCTAGCCCCAATTGGAATAGTCACTGTATTGTTCCCATTATCATTAGTATATATGATTATATTATAATTGTTGCTATTGCTATTACTAGCTTGGCATGTTGGAGAGACAGCCTTTCAGGTAACACAATTACAGGGCATTAGATAGGAAGGAGAAAGAGTCTACTAGAATGAATTTGCTTGTTCTTCTTTAAATGATGTGCTTGTTTTGCAGCCTATCAAAATACAAATAATCTTTCTCTAGTAGTTCCTTAACTCATCCAGGAGCTACGGCTTATCTTACCACATCTGCTTCTGAACCTCCTATGACAGGATCACTTAACAGTAAGTAAATAGCTTTGCTTCTCTCTAGTTTCTAATAACCTGACCAACACAGTTCTCCAATGCTGGTGAAAACAATCCAAAGACAGGTTTTAACCCCATTATATCAATATACATCTACAGCAACTAGTTAGAACCAAACAGCTTCACTCCAGATGTATGTACCAGAATACAGCCTCAAGTTTCTTTTAAGATGCTTCGTCCGCCTCCTGTATTTCCCATTAGCTCGGCAGTCCTTGCAGCAATTTCAAAAACTGGTGAGCTTCTGATCATTTGGGGCCAGATTGCAAACCTCTTTCTTATGCTAGTCAGCAGTGACCAGCATGTATACATAATCCGTAAGTAACTGCACATCAGTAGAAACAAGGGATTTGCAAACTAGTCCTATGGAGTTCCTTTGCTGTCAGCTTTCCAGCTGCCAGCTCAGCTGATGTTTTCCATTCTGATGCTCTGAATAAATTCTGCCACAAGACCTGAGGCGTCCACAGAACTCTGCTCCTCCATTTAAATCCTTCACTTTAATGAACACTCTCATGTACTAAGGTCCCATTTGCTTTTCATGAGTGATCCTGCCTTTTTCAGCCCTGCTTTCATTGGATTTGTACCTGATCCAGATCTAGTTCTCTTTGGTTTCCAACACAGTTTGACCTGTATGCTTCACTTCCTTACGCATCTGACTTTAGTCTGGTGCATTCAATGCTATGGAAATGTCAAACTGTGTAACTATTGGTAAATGATATTTCACTGAAAGAAGTCTGTTCTTTACTTAAACCCCTGAAAAGACAAGCCAATTGTAGTTGAATGAGTCAGTAGGTGTAGAGGGAACAATTTTAGATTTCAGCTCTAGGCTGCGTTAAAACAACTGCCAGGTCCTAACTTGGATTTTAACTTCTAGCTCAGTTGGTTAGAGCATAGTGCTAATAACCTCAAGATTGCAGGTTCTGTCCTGGGTTGGGCTACATGATCTCTTGAGGTCCCTTTCAGCCTTACTTCCCTGTGAGAATTTGCTTTAACATGGGCTAAGTCTATTTGTAGTCTTATTTGTAGTGCAGACATACCCTGAGGGCTTGTCTCCAGGGAAGTTACTGTGTAATAAGCCAAGGTGTGAACTTACGGCACACTGGATACTCTGGACTAATTCCCAGTGTGGACTCAGGGGGCATATCTACATGAGCAATTCATGTGCCTGAATAAATTCCAGCACAGTTTGTGCCAGAGTCAGATGCTCCCGGATGCAGCGTCTTCATGTGCTCCTGGGAGCGGCTGACCCGGAGCAGGTAGCCTGGGGTCAGCCCTGGGCTCCAGGTGGCAGTCAGTGGCATCAGGGCTGTCGGGGGCATGACGGTGCTACAGTGCAGAGCTAGCTGGCAGGCAGCCCCAGCACTGAAGCACTCTCATGCCCCAGCCAGCCCTGGTCGCAGTCAACAAGTGTGTTTCAGCACACGTAAGTACTTTGCAGCAGGACAGTACTTCTCCTGGGCAGGACTATCCCACAGCAGAATTCATTTACTGCACCCTAATACGAGTGCATATGTAAACTGTGATGCTTTACTGTGGAGTTAATTGTGCAACTCCACAGTAAAGTGCATGTGTAGATCATGATGCACCCAGCAAGCACTAAGGAGGAAAGAGCTTACTCCACATTCAAAAGCACTCTACCAATCTCCATGCAGAGTCTGTGCAGGAATGTCAGCGCATTGTCTATTTGTGCCCCAGCTGTGGGGCAAATCCTAAATGCTGATGTACCAGCGTAGAGCTGGATTCCTAGGTTTCTCCTGTAGCTAATCTCTGTGCTGGAAAGGAGCTACATGAATTCCACTTAAACCACAGCTGAAGTCCCTGTCCCACCCCCACACCCCCTTTCCCCTGCCCTGCTAAAGAAGTCTCTCTTTAGGTTCTCCCCTCCTTACACTAGTCTTACTCTAGCTCCTCTCCTCTCAATCAAGTTACTCCCGATTTGCCCTGAGAGGAGAGACTGGCCCTGGGAGAAGAGAATCAGGTCCAGCGGTGGCCTGAGAAGTGAGCCCTGGCTCCGAGCTCCCCTCTGCAAAGCTGGACACTTCCCAGCAAGTGTTCCTGGTTTTCTCTGTCCCACTCCTGGGCATGAGCCCGACCCAAGTTCCTCTGCTCCTTTCCAGGGATGACCGGGTCCTTCACCGCAGTCCTTCCCCTGCCAAGGGGTCTGCCCTGCCGGAGCTCAGCTGCAAAGCTCAGCCCGCGAGCCCTGTTGCCTCTGAACTGCTGCTTCCCGCGTGTAACCCGCAGATCTGAGCTCGCAGCTCTCCAGGTGCAGCCTGAGACTCCGGGCAGAGGAACCCTTCGCCCTGCCAAGAGCCCGGGTGAGCCAGCTGGGTGCGTGGGACAGGGGTCCCGCGTCCCCCCCCTCCCCCCCAGCACCGCACCGCACCGCACCCCGCGGCTGCCGTCCCCGCCGGCCCCGGCTGTGCTGCCCGGGAGGCCATGGTCCCCCCACCTCCTGCTCCGGCTGGGGCAGAAACCCCGCAAAAGTTGCAGGGAGCGACCTGCGAGCCCCGGCCAAGCTGCACCCGAGGCGGCAGCCAGGGGGGAGCTCAGGAAACGCCCCAGCCCGTCCCCTGCCGCCTCTCACCTGTCCAGGGACACGGTGGCCAGCGTGAAGCTGCTGGCGTACATGGTCAGGTAGATGAAGAAGTGCACGGCTTTGCAGAGGAAGGGCCCGAAGACCCAGCCCTCCAGCGTGTAGATGGTGGCTTGGAAGGGCACGCAGAAGACGATGAAGCACAGGTCGGCCACGCCCAGGTTGAGGATGAAGAGGTTGGTGGTGTTGTGCACCTGCCCGTTGCGGAGCAGCACGGCCAGCACCAGCGCGTTGCCCACCGTGCCCACCAGGAAGATGAGCGAGTAGACCAGCGGGAGCAGCACGGCCTCGGGCTGCCAGCCCGCCTCGCCGCCCCCCGACGTGTTCAGCGAGCCGTTCATGGCCGCCGCGCCGCGCCGCGCTCAGTTGCACCCGGGGCCGGGCGG